GTTCTTCTCCTGGTACGGTGGCTGAGTAGGTGCCCTGCCTCGTGGACATCTCTCTCCCCGCTCCACCCCTCCCTCTGCCCCGTCTCCCTCTCTCCCACCTTCTCTCTCTGCCCACCCCTCACAGGGAGAGCCGGACTGCTGGTGTGTGGCTGTTCCCCATGGGAGGTTTGAGAACTGTCCTTTACAGTGTCAGGACCCTATTTCATCAACAACAGAGAAAGGGCAGCTGCCCGGGGGCTGGGGCCACGGAACAGTCACAACGAGGTTTCCCACGTGCCTCTCTGGGACAGAAGCAGGACTCCTGTGCGAGTGCAGCTGGGCTCCCGGGAGCAGACAGCGGGGTGGCCCGGTACTCGGGCAGGAGTGAGAACTGTCGTGGGCACCTGGCCCCCAGGAGCAGGGGGGAGGGTGTCCAGCAGGGGTGTAGCGGGGTCCCCTAGGCCGCTCGGCTCTGGGGTTTGGTGTGTAGGGAGCCCGCGTGTGGTTGGGCCGTGGTGGTCCTGGTGTTCTCGGTGGCAGCAACGGGGACCCGCGCCCGGTGGCTTTCGGGGCCACAGGCAGCACCCCCTCCCCCTGGCGGGTCCCCTGTCCGCGGGACGGAGCAGATGCTCTCTTCATGGAGCACCCAAACCCTCAGTCCCAGTCTTTCGTGCCCTCATGCCCCTGACCCGGGCTCACGAGGCAGCTGCTGGACAGTCCTGCCTCACTCACCGAGGCACAGGCTGCGGCTGCCCCGAAACACACTTTCCGGCCCGGCAGACCCCCGTCCCGCCGGTCCTCAAGGCCCCGTTCGAACGCTGATGCTCCGAATGGAGTTTGCCGGAATTGAGTGAGTGCCGTCCGAGGGCCTGTGTCACCGTGGCTCTCGGCCCCGCTCCACCGGGGGCCGCCCTCCCTCCCGACCCCCAGCTACTCGTGCCTCCCCGTGGTGCTCTCCCCGCCTCGGGGTCTCCTCCATCCGGACTCCAGCGGCCCCTCCAAGAGGCCGACCTCGACTCTCACCCAGCCTCTCTGCCTCCTGCCCGGCCTTCACCACCCATCCCGAGACAGGGCCCACGGCCCCCACGTCCGGCCTCCCGCTCTGCCGGCCCCAAGGAGGCCCTGTCGGTGAATGAACGAATGAGCGAACGAATGAGGTGGGCCAAGAGGTGTGTGGTCACCCCCCCTCTGTGGGGAGAATGCCCAGGCCCGTCCCTAGACCCAGAATGTGGCGCTGGAAACAGGACACAGAAAACCACCCGCAGCACTTAAGATTCTGATCGTTTTTCTTTAAAAAACAAACGAAAAGCCCCCAACTCCCCACCCTGAACCAGCCCAGTGCAACAGGTTAGCCATTAACGGGAAAAGAGAAAGAGACATGAAGCGACACCGTTACGCGGCAGGTGTCCCGGCCGGGCTGACGTGGCCGCGACGCCAACAGGGACACGAGACAGCGGGAACACTGTGAAGCAGCAAGGCCATCGACCCCGCAAATAAATAGACGTACTGCCAAGAGCACCCTGCAAATTAGCGACACGTCGGACAGGATCAAATAGCAGAACCGCTAACAAACGCTCATGGTTATGACAGGGTTTGGTTTAAAACAAACGAAGCCTGACAAATGGGGAGCGCTCGGGGGCACGTGTCAGTAGGGTGGTCGGACAGAGTCCCTGTCCCGCCTGGAAGGTCACCACAGAGGCGCCGTGTAGTGTCTGCGGGCTCGCATGGTGCCTGGGTGGTCCCCGCCTTCTGAGGGGGTCCCTGGGCCGGGGTGGGGGGTGGGGCACAGCTCCAGGAACTGCAGCCTGGGCTCCGACCCCCCTTCACGGCCGATGTGCCAGCCAGATGCGGGGACAGTCGCATGTCAGAACTACCTGTGACCTCCCGGGGCCCCCTCCTCCAGTGCCGCCTGTGTGAGACAGGGTCCCCGGGCCCCCGGTCCACCCCCGGTCCACCCCCGCAAGGCGACACTGCCCCAGTTCCCCACACCCGCCCCCCAGCCCCCTGCGTCCCCCCAGAGCCAGCGCTGTGCTCAGCCCCCAAGCAGGAGGAATG